CACCTACCGCAGGGTCGGCGCTGGCGGTGATGGTATCCACAAGGTGCATGTCGCTGCGGTGCTGGGGGTGACTATGCTTCGTGTTTATGTGCATCGCCACCTAGATGATGCGAAGAAAATGAGAACTATGCTTCGTGGTTATGTGCATCGCCACCTAGATGAGCCGAGCATGGTGCCAATGGATTCGACGTATGTCTTGCGTGAGCCAAAATGTTTCAGTCGCCACTTGGATGAAAAAAACAAATCTTATACACCGTCCTACTATCCATTCCAACATAGTGTGCCTATAATGGTATCTCTGCACTGAAAGCATGTGTTTGGGAATACCATCACCGTGCACCATGCCTCCCAGCTTGCCGCAACAAGGCAGCATGTGTTTGGGAATGCCATCACCATGCACCATGCCTCCCAGCTTGCCGCAACAAGGCCCTTTTCTGCCTTCCTCGCCCGATACTTTTTTGGGAGGCATACTGTTACTTACATCATCCTTTCGCACCAAAATGCATGTAGGGTGTCCTTTTTTCCCAACGACCGAGGCCATGGCGAGGCCGAAAGATCCGCCGCCGATCACCGTCACCTACGTGATCGAGAAGTGACAAAGACAACACGGGGAAGGAAAAGCTTTTCCATGAATTACGAAGAGACAAAACATGTCAATAGCCGTAAAGATCCCATGAAAATTTTGCATTGTAGGGCCCTGACGTCCATGTAAACCTTTCATACGTAGTAGAAATAATATATACCTTGCTTTTGGCTGTAGCGGCTGTCTCAGCAGTTTGCGACGCGGGGTTAGCTTCAATAACAGGAGACGCGCGCCCATGACAAGGCCGCTTAGGTGCGGGCTCATTGTCCACCATTCTTCGCTTTGTGGTCGGGATACTACGGGTTGCTAAGGTGTTTAGGTTTAGGAAAAGGAAGGTGGAAAACACCCAAAAGTTGATGTTGCTGATTCGACATTGAATTGGCTGTCCGAGTGGATGGCCGAATGGTACGGCTACCGGCATACGGCTGGTGATAGATCGATGCCAAAGGATTTACGTCTGAAACATCGACATCTATGCCTCAGTATCTGAAGACACTTCGGGATTTATATCATGAGCCGGATGTGACTTCGTTTTCCTGCTAATCATACGAACTGGGACCAAAACAACAAAGCAGTAATGAAGGCACCTCCAGCTCAAGAGGGCTACTTCAGATACTGTGTTGCTTGATTCCTGCACCAAAACACAAGGTGTCGCGGTCGTCGTCATTTTACGAGAAGAATGCCGGAACGTGTGTGGACTCTTCCTTGAAGTATGACGCCACTCTCTTGTTGAGGATGACGTTGCTTGAAGTTCGTCCATTTCTGCTGCTGTTTTCTTACATTTGACGGTAAACCTTCCTCATCCTTTTTTTCGACGAGGCAAAGTCAAGATTATCCTGCATGCTATTTGCACTTGCCGAAATTTGATCTAAGACGCGGATCCTTTCGATATATGTGATGATCAATGTATTGTCCTCTACATATGCTGCAGCAGCACACGAGCGGGTCTTTTCCTCTGCATTTATAAGACCAAGGTTACGCAAGAAATTCTGTGTATAGCGTGTACCATCAACAAGAAAGTAAATCAAAGAAAGGAGAACCTAAAGACGAACTAGGCGAGCTGGGTTCTGTCTTCAGGCATGGCTTTACGCCCAATCGGTGTGGTCTCATGCTGGTGCGAAAAATCAATCAACTTTACTTGAGACACACTTTGATTCTTTCCTCTCATATCCGTACTTTTTTTTCTTCTTGACCTGGAAGGCGGAGCTGTTCGCGTTGGCAACACTTCCCTCTTACCTCCATCTTCACTTCCTGTTCCCCTTCGGATTCGCTCACCCTTAAACCATTTCTCTCTTGAGTTTAGTTTACAATTCAACTGTTGCCATCATCTCCTTCTCAGTAGGCGGGAAGTCCGAGTCACGCATGCGGGACACTGTGTGAATATAGGGAGGAGTAAGCTATCTTTGTCCTAGTCGCCGCCCCCCCTTTCCTCCCTCTTTCATCTCTCCCACTTACAGTCTTCGAACGCTTTGGCCAAGCTGGCATCTTTTTGAATGAAGTGCATCATCTCAGGCATCTGCTTGAATTTGTCACCGTTGTGTTGCTTGGTAATTTCTCGAAAGGCTTTCCCATCCATTCCTACCGAGATTATTATGCAAAAAGGGTGTGTCAAACGCGACAGTTAATACAAAGGGCTACACATACCGGGATGGGCCCTCCCAAGTGTAAAGACAAAAATAAAGAGCATGTCAAGGCAAAAGGGAAGAAAGTAATCGCGCTCAAGCACCTGAGTAATGCTGATTGACAAACTCGTCCTGTAGCTCCTCCACCGCCCCTTGCTCTCCGGCCCGCGCACGCTTGAAGAGGTTCTGGTCCCATAATTATGAAAAGTTAAGGATTAGGAAAAGAGCGGGCAAAAGGATGACGATCTAGTCGTGGACAGATTCCACGGCGAAGACAGGCGATTTTGCAGGAAGCTGGGAAAAAGGAGGCAAGTCCTGTCCTCGATGCTTGTCAGGCTCGGATGGATTCAACACACATGTCCTCTTGCATTACGCATGATACTCGTTCGTTTACCAACGCCCCACCCCCCTTCCCCCCTTCCCATACCTGGATGCCGGGGTCGGAGGAAGCCGCCATTTTAGCCAGGGTGGCGGAGACTTTGTCCGGCTCATTCACCTGGACATGTAGGGAGACAGAGAGATAGGAGTGACGGGTTGGAGGGCAGAAGGAGGTAAGCGAAAAGTAAGATCTTGACATAAAAATGCGATGGTGACTTAAGGAAGGGTGGGAGGGGGTGGCCATGAAGGGAGACTAGAGACAAGCAGAGGACAGGGAAAACGTGGGAATGGCACGGAGGAAGTGTGATGAATATGGAAGATTCCAGGAGGATGAGGTACCTTGTTGAAGAAGGCGTCGTCGGCGAGGTTCAGCAGCGTGTTCATGCCCGTGGAGAAACTGTTTTTGGTCTGTGCGTTGAGGGTCTCGTCATTCCCTCGTCCATAGATCAGGTTTCCCTCCCTCTTCCTCCTCCTCTTTCCCCTGATTTGCCATCTTACCTCTTCGGCGCTAAGTCGTCGATTGTCTTTGATCGTACTGAAGCCAGTCAGCGCCCCCAGAAGAGGAAAGTCCTTCAAGACTCGGTGTTGGATGTCGGGGTTATCCAGGATGGCCTTGAAACCTACGGAGAGGGTAGAAAGGGATAGTGGGAAGGGCAAGCCATGTGACAGATCTGTACGTCGTCTTTGTTTTTCTTAAGGCCGGCTGGCTTGTCGTGCACAAATCTCGGGAGACTGAGCATGTATTAGGAAGGGTTATGAGGGGGGAGGACAGCGAACGCCTGCATAGGAGACAAGCTTCCTGGAAAGATATTCTCGTGACCGTAGCCTGAGGGACACACTGCATCATAAAGTGGCTGATGTCCTTACTGCGTGCGTCCAAGCCCCCTCCGAGTACCTTTGGTGTTCATCGCATCTTTGAAAACCTGCACCGGATTGAAGGTGTTTTTGGTCAGATTCAAGAGGTAACCGGCGCGGCTGGATGGCTTGGTAAAGTCGTCATCTGCTTCGTTGCGTCAAAAGAAAGTTTCGAGAATATTTGTGGTGAGTATGAGGTCTGAATGTCGAACGGAAAGGCAAGAGGAGCACGACGGAAGATTTCAAAACGATGAACGTCCCATTACAGCCAACCTGGTACAATAGTGACAGTGATGTGTCACGAAAACACACCCTTAGGGCGCTTGATTGACCTCAGCCTTCTCCAGTCCCGTTTGTCATATTATACCTGTCTGCTTATCCGACGACTCTTGTTTCGAGGTGACAGAACTGGATGAAGAACTGCTGGCCCCCGTGGTCGACTGCAAGCGACTGAACGGCCGCGAAGACCGGTCATGCTCCTGAGCATGGACAGTGCATCCCATGAAGACAGCGAGGACCACAAGAAGAACGGTCGATGAATACAAGGATACGGCCTGCATGACTGTGGCTGCTCGTAGGTAAGACAAGAAGCGGGGAGGCGAAGTCAGCGTCGAGTTCCATTCATCGCCCAGGCAAAGCGATCAGCACATCACATAAAGCAGGTTAAGACCGAGCCCATGACACCCAGATTTTTAATAACAACATAATACCTCTCCTAAACGACCATGCGAGAGAAAAAAGGCCTCGACGTTCCGACCCCGCCACCGGCACGGTGCCCCCCCACCATTCCCCTACGCCTTCGGACAAGACGTGCATTCCGTTTGGCATATGGGCCTGGCGGGAAGCCTATCTCCTTTTCCGCCGCCCCAAGCCGCCAAAACTATTTGGCGGAGATAGACAACCCGGGGGGTACAATATCTGGACAGGAATAAAATGTACCGAGGTCACGGCATCTTATGCTTTGAAAGGGATGTTTTTATCTGGCCAGGGACTTATCTTGGCTCCAGGTCAAGGCTTATAGAAGCCGTCGTCGGAAGAGGACGAACGAGATAACTAGTCGCCTCCGGAGTACGGACATGACGCTCCTTAGTGGTGGACTGCGTCGTCCTTTGAATTGCGTTCTGTGATTGTCCTAGACTACCCTCTTGTTCTGCATGCATTCATGAGTGTGGGCTCGTC